CCGAGAAATTCGGAATAAAGCGCATGTCATAGCGGAAAATTGCAATTTCGACCAGAGTTGGGCATACTGGCTGCGGATATCGTTTGTTCCGTCCATTTGCATTGTGATCAACTGTTTGCGAAGATTAGATTCAGAGAATAAGAACAGCTTCTAATGGACACGCATATCGTATGGTTCACTCTGAATGTCACATTGGTACGTCGTATCATTTGTTTTGCATTTGCCTTTGTTTTGACATAAACAGGCCCAATGCTCGGCCATTTCAATACACGACTACTTTCCGCCATGACGGTTATCGTGTTCGTTGGATAACGCTTCCATTTATAGAATCAAAACAGGAGCATTGTGTGCTTTACGGTATGCGACTTAATGGCTGATACGACCTAAAATACTATAGCTTGATTCTTTCCACCTTGGTGTGGGTTTCCAGGTCCCTAAAACTACTCTCCAGAGCCCCTGATGTACCAAATGTTTATCTTAGTTATTTTATCATGAATTCAGTCTGGCCGCGACCTTCGTCCAAGGCACAGGCAACAAACGCAATTCGATGAACAGGTGGATAGGATTTGAATGAGCATTGGCGGGTGTAAATTCTTGAGATAGGAATTTGAATTTTGACATACTTCGGCTACTGTGGTTTATTTGAGTAGTCTGTATATAAATGACATCTATGGTCCGCGGTACGCCCTCAGCCTTTTCTGCGTCTGCGCAAGTCGTGCGTAAGACTGACTGATATTGCCCGGTTTACCGCTGCCGCGGCTATTTTTCTCTACAGTGGGAGTCCACAGAAACAAGCACGTCCGCAAAAGCCGCAGGTCCGATATTCGCATTTTTACGAAAACATTTCAGCACTTCGGTTCATCCAGTGAGATCAAGTGATTATAAAGGGAGAAGCCGTATTTGGGCAGGGTGACGGACTGGCGGTAACTTGGTGTCACTCGTTTTGGTCATTATTTTATTTTCACAAACGTGCCAATTGCAGCAGATAAAGATCGTAGATCGAATATACGAAAGCAGCATATTTCTATGCTCAGAATGTCAAAGTAGTGAAATGTAAGCTCTAAAATAAGGCAGTGTTTGTCCGATCAACAAACATGTCAATATCGTTTGCTTTTTCATACTTTTCTTTTCATGATGAGATAATACTTAGTGATGAAACGAAACCGTGTTCAACGAGAGAAATTGAACGAAGCTTTGTGGTATCTAGGTGGTGATGGTAATTGAAATCTTGATGCATTGACGACTGTTGGATAAGGTGACCGCGAGCAGCGGTGACTGTCAAAAATTATGAGATCAACTATCAGAGCCTGTGAATGTAACTTCGAAAAGGAGTCCTTCAGAGTGACCTTTTTAGAGGATTCTGGCGAGCACATGAACAGTCAAATACCAACCGGGACACGCAAGACGATTTGTGGTTGCAGCGGACGTCTACTGGGGCAGCGCGGTGCAAACGGTGCATCAGTACGAGAAGACAGCTATTGCATTAGGACTCGGAGGAAAAGTTCCTCGATACTAATAATGTGCCAACGAGAAAGAAAGTACGACACGGCAAACATGCCTCAAGAGTCTCGGGTTGGGCTTTTCTGTTTACGTTTTTGTATGTGAATACGTGTTTTGTCCACCAAGGAACTGAGTGTACATTGAAAACTGCAAAACGAATTGATCCCTGGATTTGTTCAGTCGATAGCTTGGTAATCTGGATCTAGACGACTGTAAAGTGTAACAAAGTTTAATTTCTTTAAAATATTTTTACTTCCTATTACATAATACTGAAAAATCTTTTTAGGAACGAGGAAGCGGCAAATCAAAGAGATGGTACACGAAAGATAGAAAATAGGGACGGTGGAGGTAGGAGTTGAATACACTTCCTTCGGGGCGATCAGCGACCGACCTTAACAGCTTGACCACCGCCACCAGTCATGTCGAGCGCAATCCAACTTCTGCTCAGTAGGGAATTCTCCGCATGTTGTGCGTTGCATCACTAATTACACCCATCTAAATTGGTGTCTGCTAACGTAAGCAAACTAATAGACAGCACTCTCCTGTGGGTAAATAAATGTCTATTGCCAACATTTACTCGTTAGCTGTAGGAATCAACTGAAACTGAATTGGGCACATTGGTTGCCTACTTCGTACTGCTACTGCTCAAGACAGAAATGATCCGAGTCAGCCAAACTAAACCACAACTACTGCATCTACCAAGCCAACGGGCAATATGATTCACATTAGAACAAGAGAAATCGCATTACCGCATAAGAATAAAAGTGATAGACAAATCGTTAAGCGGAACAATAAATCACTTTCACTTTCGACATAAAACCAACAGATGTGTAAGACAGCTAGTTTTATAAGTAACTAACTCAATTCATCTTAAATCGGTCTTTTAGTAATCAGTTACTGATGAACTTAGTAGATTACACCGTCAGTTATGGTGATAGTGGTAACAGGTTAAGCAAGATGTCACAGGTGTGCATCGATGCGCCAGTTTCCAAATTTGCTCGGATACTCTGCACTAACAGTTGACAATTGTTACCACCTGAATCTACGTCACTTCGGTTTTGTCGAGGATCAGTTTTCTTCAGAGGAACGCCGTGCTTGATTAGAAAAAATTTACCGCACGAATAAACTTAACAAGTTGATGAGCTGGTGATTATCACGATCGAGGTAAGTGGTTCGCATGTGACCGGATGACCCACCCCCCACTCCCTCTATGTGCAACTTTGACTGACGCATTTAGAAGTTCGAGGAAGAAGAAGG